CTGAGAAGACTTTGTTACAGGTGAGTTTTCACTTTGAAGCGATGTCGCATGAAACATGTGGAATAACAAATGACGACTGTTTTTAGCTAAAAGACCTGAAAAGTCAGCATGAATTCTGCTCCCAGCACAGTGATGTCACAGACACACAGCTCAGGTAAGATCTGCAGGATGACCTGATCAATAATAAGAACTAAAATCAGTCCATGCACAGATTGCAGGATCCCTGTGGTTCTGTTTGTGACGTTTGATCTCAAAGACAAAAATCCAGTGAAATGATTTTTTAAATCTTATGTCAAAAAGCTCGTCTGTTTTAAATTTGTTCAGATTTTAACAAAGTAACGCTTTAATCCAGCCGGGCAGTGCGTTGTTGTTCAAGAGTGGAGAGTCTAAAGTCCAGGGACGATGAACTTAATTGCAGCCATAATGTTAGGAGCAATAAAAAATTCATTAATAAAAGTATAATATTTAACTGTAAGAATATTAACTTTGTAAATGTAGATCTGTGTGTATTAGTGCAGCTTCTATTCATGTTAATAACCAGAGCCGTCAAAATAACATTTGGTTTTCAGAAAGTTCCAGACAGTCATGTCCATCTGGTGTGTTTTTAAAAAAAAATCACAGTTATGGATGCTTTCCTTCTTTTCATCAGTTTGTGGACATCAGAGTAATAAATACGATACGTGGAATACAGCTGAGTAACAGTAATGTAATACTCACTGTGACCTGTGTGACCTCCTGTTAGTCTGTAGGAAAAAAGCAAAAAACCCAACTTGTATGAGGTCGTGTGCTTATTCCATCATGAATTGATGTATTTCTCTTTTTATATTTAAGTATTTTAGATTTTATTTTTGTGACCATAACTGTTATTTTCTCATCTGCACCAACATCTGAAACTTTTGTATTAATCTTTAAAAAGGTTCACAAGTCTTAGTCTCAGATTATCTAGGAACATAAAACTGATAGCAGAGAATATTCAGAAAGGGCCTTTTTAAATCATAACTCACGTTCATATTAATAAAGCAAACCTTTGACCTGCAGTTAGATATAAAGTAAATGTGATGTGTATCATGTCCTGTGAGTCGATGAGTAACAGCATGCACAAAGAAGAAAATGATAACGTTTGAAACAAGTGAACATTGACCACAGAGTAGATAACATCCACTGTATACAGATAAACACAGACTTCTTGTTACCTTGTTTAATTTGAACAGACGCAAACTCATCAAGTAAAGCCTCTAAGCTTGGTGGGAGCAAATATTAGAGTAACCTGACCTCTCAGAGTTCTCGTATATGCAAATCTGGAGGTTTATTTATGACCTCAGCAGTGATGGTCAGGGGTACTCGACATTGCTGTTGGATGTGCATGCAGATGCAGTTAAGCATGTATTTGACGACACAGCGACCAGGTGTTTTATCAGGACAGGTGAACACAAATGTCTGAGACACGACAGTGAGCCTCCCCGAGATGTCATCCGATTTGGGCTCAGAGATCTTATTCTGAGTATTCACAGCAGCCGTAGCCTCTCCAAGATCTTCTCCGTGCTGCACTCAATGAGCCCATTTTGAGAAACTCACGCCTCTCCCATCGTTCCAATCCCAGCGGGCAGCCTTGTGGGGGTTTGAACAGCCGGTTCCGCTTTCTTAAATCTCCGATAAGTCAGGGCCAAGCCAGCTCCGATCAGCCAGAACCCTGTTACCATGGTTCTGAATAGGTAGATATCTTCAGCACTCAGGCTCACCCGAGCCCAGACTTCTTGTTGAGAAAGGGTGTCAATTGCATTTAGGGACCAGTCGATCCAATCCTATTTCACTGCAGGGCAACCTGCATGTGGCGAATAAAGCCTTGATTGATTGATTGATTGTCTGTACACACTGCAAAACAACTTAGAGCTCAGAAGCTTAGTGTCAAAAGGGCCCAATATGTGACTGTGGAGACAGCAGAGCAATTTCCACAAACTTTATTTACAAGTTTAAGCAAAGGAATAAACTTGGTGAGGGATTCAGGGCTTGATGTTTGAACACGACTCGTAGTGTGGAGATCTAAAGCTGTAACTGTGGACAGAGGAGTGGGTGATTAGCGTGGGTATGAAACTTCTCCAGGTGTGAATGAATTTGAAACAGAAATATGACTCATGTTGCAGGCAGAGTTGGTGACACTTTGAAGAGCAGCTGAAGGTCTGGGTGAACTGAAGAGAGCGATGCTGGGCTGACCTGAGTTAAAAGGGATCCAGTGCAAAGCGTGGCAAGAGGGCAGGCAGGTGCCATACTGAAATCCTTCCCAGGAGTCAGAGTGTGAAACAGGTGCTGTGACCAGAGAGCTGTAGCACAAGAAAAGCAAGGTGGGTACATAGACTAGAAGTAATACACACAAACATCCTGAGACTCAGACTGAAAACCCCACAAAGGAGGGGGGATGGGGTTGGTAAGTCTGTAATATTAGATTAGGTTTCTTTGTAACTAATGATAGCAACATGGCCAAATGACACTGAGAATAACCCACTAAGTAAATGCTGAAATAAGGGTGGATGATCTTCACTAGACACTCAAACGGAAAAGTTTTGGATTTCAGTTTGAACCCCACCAACTTTATTCTTGACTCAAATAAGTTGAGTTCATTTGGAAGAACCAAATATGATTCATTGAGAGTACTTTCATTCACCTTAAAGTGAACAACAGTCTGAAAGGGAGTTTCTGCCATGTTTTACAGGCAGTCGTGCTTCTGAAGACAAGTTTTTGTTCGCTTTGTTGTGAATATTTACATAAAATCATCCAAGTGTCTGTATCCAGCACCGTCTGTGCAAAACTCCTTTGATGTCAGAGGTTCAAACATGAAAACATTTTCTCAGTCATTGTTGTTTTTTCTTTTTAACTCCACAGTGAGTTCTGCAGCTGAATGACAGCATGGCAGCAGCACCTGGTGAGTCTTACTTTGTCACACTTACATGCAGTAACTGTGAGTTACCTCCCTCTACAAGCACTCTCTGACAGTAATTTCATTGTTTCTTGGTTTCTCCTGTTTGGAGAAATGTGAAAAAAATGAAGAAAAAGTGATTATTAGAGGATAAACGATGTGACTACAGGTGATATTTTACAGCAGGTCTCATCTGAGTGTCTTTGCTGAACCAGGCTGCTGTGTTGCATGCAACATGCTTTAACAATGTGTTTAACCAATAACATTTGACAGAATGTATTTTCTGAAAATTAACAGTCATGTTTAATAATCTTTCCCAGAACTAATGTGATCTGTTCATGCAGTCAGCTGTTGACATTAAAAGTGCTTTGTTCCATCTGATGTAGTCATTGCAGGATAACACGTCTCAGTGCACAATGCATGTATTTCTTTATCTTTGCAGGACCACAAGACGCTTTTCCCAGACGTCGCAGGAACAGCATCGAACTTCTGCCACCCTACAGTGAGTTTTTAAAGAAAAGATTATGTTTAATGCAAACTTTAACTGGGCAATTTAAGGTGGAAGACATTAGACAGGAGCAGGTGAAGACAAACTATAGCAGGAAGTGTGAACCTTGTTTGGAATAATGAAAACCTCTTAGTGCACGGATTCTGCTTTCTCTCTTTACATTTAAAGCTCAGATAATGTATAGAAAAGTGAAGAAAACTATTTTATGTAAACTTTTGGGGGTCATTTCTGGGAGAGGTTACAGCAAATGTCTCCTTAACTTCATGTTAACAGATCAAACATTCAGGATACCAGTGTTTATGTAGCTCTATGCCACAGACATGAAGTTGGTGCAATTTATTGAAATTTATTGAAACCACCTGCACTCATGTATATATCATGTATATATCTATCTACTTAGCACTTTTAATTCTTACTCTTATTTTTATTTTCATGTCTATTTAAACGTAATTTATAACAGTATGTTTGCACTGAAGCACCGCAGCAATTTCCTAATGTTGTAAACCTGCTCAACATTTGGCAATAAAACCCTTTCTGATTCTGATTCTGATGCATTCTGTGACAATGGTGATCAAAAGAGATTATAGAAATAAAATTGTGCCAAACAAGAAAAAAAAATTGGTCTTCAGATTCTGTGGATTTAAAACTGAGCTTTTAACAGAGGTTAATTTTATTTTTCAGCTCTCAAACTTTATGTAGTATTCTCACATGTGAATATATATCTATGGCTCAGTAATGATCCATAAATACTAGAAAAAAATAACACATATTTAAACAAACTGACAATTTTTGCACATTTTTCAATAATTACAACTCAGTGGTTACAAATGGAAAATCATTAAAATTAGATTAATTAAAACCTATGATATAATGCTGTTTCTGCTTGTATTAACTTTGAAAGATTCTTTGTTCAGTGTTTGTGTTTGCTGTCGTTTCAGTGTCTGAGCTCAGAGCTGTCCTGCTGGGGAACAGCTGGTCTGAGAGGAGCTCAGTGGGGAACTTTATACTGGGAGAGAACAAGTTCAACCCTGAGGAAGAACTGGACCGATGTGTGAGAGTCAGTGGACACATTCAAGGGAAAGAAATATTTCTCATCAACACTCCAGATCTGCTTCATCCAAACATCTCAGAGGAGAAATTAAAGGAACATGTGACCAACTGTGTGAGGCTCTCTGATCCTGGACCTCATGTGTTCCTGCTGGTTCTACAGCCTGAAGACATCACCGAGCATCAAAAACGAGACTCTGCAGAGTCCTGAACTTCTTCAGTGATCATTCCTTTGATCATTCACTGGTTCTGATATCACCACCCAGAGAGAGGCGTCTGGGTTTACGGCATAGTGTCATGTATCATACACATTTACAGGAAATGATCAGACGATGTAAAAACAAGTCACTTCAGCTTGAAAACCTCAACATTCGGGAGTTACTAGAAAACATGGAACGCATTGTAGAAATGAACAATGGAACACATGTGACCTGTCAGCACACCAGCGCTGAACAAAGAAAAAAAGCTCCTATTACTTTGAATTATCCTCAGCCTGTTGGTAAGTAAAAACCCCCAAACTATATCTGTAGATATTTTAACATAAAGACACTTTCTAAAGTGCTCAGAAGGAACGATCCACCAAAAACATGAAGCAGCATTTACTGAAGATGGAAAAAGTGAAGAAAGACCAAAAGGCTTTTAGGATCAGTCAGACTGTCTGAGAGTAATTTCCTGTTTGTATCTTTGCTCCTTTACAGGATGTAGACTCTGCATGTTGCTGTTTGGAGGAAACTCAGCAAAGAAGACAGCACTCTGTAACTTTATTGTGAAGAAAAATTATGATTTTTCAGGATTTTCTCCAGACAGACAAGTTTTCCATGGAGAGTGGAGAGGAAACCTTTAACAGTAGTGAAAACTCCCGACTTCTTAAGTCCGTCTCTGAAAGCAGCGAGAGAAGAGATGAAGAGCTGTGTGAGTCTCTGTCCTCCTGGACCAAATGTTCTGCTGCTGATGGTGAAACCTTCTGATTTCACTATGCAGAGCAGAAAAACTCTCAGTTTGACCCTGAGTGTGTTTAATGGAGATGCCTTTAAACACTCAATGGTCATCATCACAGATGAGGAGGAGATGCGTTTTTCTGTTAATTTTCTCCTTAGAGATTGTGAAGGTAGACACTACAACATGTTTGAAAATGATCACAGACAGTTGATGGAGAAGATTGAGAACATCGTGCATGAGAACAAAGGAAAATTCCTCACAGTCACTGAAGAGACCATCAGACCAAAGTCTGAAGACATAAAAGAACCACCTGAAAAGATCAGAAGAATAAAATCTGAACTCATCAAACCATCTTTAAACCTGGTTCTGTGTGGGAGGAGAGGAGCAGGGAAGACGTCAGCAGCCAAGGCCATTTTAGGTCAGACTGAGCTTCATTCAGCCTCCAACTCATCAGAGTGTGTTAAACATCAGGGAGAGGTGTGTGGACGTTGGCTTTCCCTGGTGGAGCTGCCTGCCTTGTATGGAAAACCTCAGGAGGCAGTGATGGAGGAATCACTCAGGTGTATCTCCCTCTGTGATCCTGAGGGTGTCCATGCCTTCATCCTGGTCCTACCTGTGGCTCCCCTCACTGATGAAGACAAGAGAGAGTTAGAGACCATCCAGGACACATTCAGCTCTCGGGTCAATGACTTCACCATGATTCTGTTCACCGTGGACTCAGATCCTACAGATCCAGCTGTTGGTAACTTTGTAAGCAAAGACCCAAATATCCAGGAGGTCTGTCAACGTTATGGACAAAGGCCTGTTATTGTTAACATCAAGGATAAAGAGCAGATCCACACGTTGTTGGACACTGTGGATCAGATGAGATGTACAAACAAACCATGCTGCTACACAGCTGTAACATTTGCCCGAGCCCAGATTGATCTGATAACTAAAAATATGGTCACTCGTAAGTAATTGAATGTTGTTGTTTTTTAATCATTAATCATGTTCTACATTATATTCTAACATCTACTTTATAAACTGTTCACATTTTAAGAAAATCATGTGTTTACAGGTGATGAAGAGATGCACAACACGGAGCCTCTCAGGATTGTGCTGATAGGAAAGACCGGCAATGGAAAGAGCTCATCAGGAAACACCATCCTAGGAGGGAGAGAGTTTAAAGCCATGGCAAATCAAAAATCAGTCACCAAACAGTGTCAGAAAGAACAGGGTGAGGTGGACGGCCGTCCTGTTGTTGTGGTCGACACTCCTGGTCTGTTTGACACAGCTCTGTCACATGAAGAAGTTCAGGAGGAGATGATGAAATGCATCAGTCTTCTGGCTCCAGGACCACACGTCTTCCTGCTGGTGTTAAGTATTGGTCGTCTCACACCAGAGGAGAAGAAGACATTAAAACTTATAAAGGAAGGTTTTGGGCTGAATTCAGAAAAGTTCACCATCATTCTTTTCACTGGAGGAGATTCACTACAACGTGACGAAATATCCACTGAAGATTATATTGAAAGCGGATGTGATGATTCCTTTAAGAAGCTGATTGCTGACTGTGCAGGAAGATACCATGTTTTCAATAATGTAGATAAAGAGAACCGCCAACAAGTCAGTGAGCTGATAACAAAGATTGACACCATGGTGAAGGAAAACGGGGGAAACTGTTTCACCAATGAAATGTTACAAGAAGCTGAAGCAGCAATAAAGAAGGAAATGCAGAGGATCCTAAAGGAGAAGGAAGAAGCGATGAAGAGAGAGAGAGAGGAGCTAGAAAGAAAACATGAAGAAGAAAAGGACGCCATCAAAACAAGAATGGAAGAAGAGAAGGAAAAAGTACAACATGAAAAAGACCAGAAACTCAAGGAGATGGAAGAAAATATGAAAAAGGAGCGTGAGGAGAGAAAGAAAGAACAGGAAATGAGAGAAAAAGAGAACAGGAAACGGGAAGAGGAGGAAGAAAGACGTAGGCAGGATTTTATAATGCAACTTGAAATGTTGGACAGACAAATTCAGTCAGAAAAAGAGGAAAAGAAAAGGATTGACAAAAAGCTGGAAGAGAGCAGAGAAGAAATGAAAAGAAAACAGGAAGCCTGGGACAAAGAACAAAGAGAAGAAAGAGAGAAACAAAAAGAAGAAGAAGAACAGAGACGACAGGAGGAAGAAAAACGACTGAAAGAAGAGAAAGATAAAATACAACAGGAAGCAGAGCTGAAAATCAAAGAGATGGAAGAAAATATGAAAAAGGAGTATGAAGAGAAGAGAAAGAAAGAACAGGAAACAAGAGAAAAAGAGAACAGGAAACGGGAAGAGAAAGAAGAAAGATGTAGGCTGGATTTTAAAATGAAGCTTGAAAAGTTGGACAAACAAATTCAGTCAGAAAAAGAGGAAAAGAAAAAGATTGATGAAAAGCTGGAAGAGAGCAGAGACGAGATGAAAAGAAAACAGGAAGCCTGGGAGAAAGAACGAAGAGAAGAAAGAGAGAAACGAAGAGAAGAAGATGAACAGAGACGACAGGAGGAGGAAAAACGACTGAAAGAAGAGAAGGAAAAAATACAGCAGGAAAAAGAAAAACATGAAAAGGAAAGAAAAGAAGAAGACAAAAAGAGGAGAGAAAAGGAGAAGAAAGAACGAAATCAGCTGGAAGGAAACTATAAAATACGTGTTGAAAAGCTGAAGAAGATGCATGAAGATGAGGCCAGAAAGAAAGCTGAAGAGTTCAATGATTTCACAGAGAAAGTCAACAAAGAGTTTGCAGCTCAGAAGAAAGAGCACGAGAAACAAATGAAAGACAAAGATGAGAAGTATGACCTGTTAAAGGCTCTGGCTGAGTTTAATGAAAAACAAAAGAGAGAAAAACATCTTGGAGAAATCAGTGATGTGATAAAATGTGTGTCTAAGAAGAGAGGGAATGTGAAAAAAATCAAAGACTTGCTGATAAAACATGAGGATCAAATGAAGAATGAAAAAAATGAGGAAGAAAAAGAAAAACTGCAGAAAAATCATGAAACAGAAATAAGTGAACTAATACAAAAACTTCTGGATGAAGTTGAAACATCTTCCTGCAGCATTTTATGAGATTTTTTTTCTACTTTTTGTGACAGAGCTCAGCTGGATAAAATATTTTCTGTCATAAAAAGTTGAGATAAAGAGATATATTTTATGGTCAGTTTGTAAACATTTTACAATTACAGATGGAATTCTTGATTTATCTTTTATATTTTCAGGATTGTGTTTCATTTTGTACCTTATATGATGTCAATGATGCATGCAGGATGAATTGCTGCCATGTAACTTAAGGTTTTAGAAAATATTTGAAACACTGTTTAATTTTTTGGTATATTTTATTTAGATTATTGCAGGCACCAGCGTATTAAACAATAGAAGAAGCTTATTAGATATTTGCATACTTGCTGTAATTAGAAATATTTATTATTAAATAAATATAAGTATTATGCTGTCCTTGCCCTGAGTCTCTTGGTTTCACCAGCTAGACAGCGAGATAACGATGCTCCAATAACCAGACTTATTTTCCTTTTTGCGCTGATTTATTGAAGAATGGCCTCTGACCATTGCCTTCTCTTTGACCATCGTAAAACTGAAAGTACAAAATACTGTATTAGCTAACTAACATTGTAAACTAGCTTGTTACCCTCTTACTGCAAGCTAACAAGATAAAACTTTCAAATGTACAAATTATCGTACCATTTTTACACAAAACAAAAGATAATAATTATTTTATCGACACTCACACTTACAGACATATCTTGTCCAAGGCAACAACATTTTAAGGTCCGTATCAGCTTAGAACAATAACATTACGGTATCACTTTCCGCCATCTTTTATTTCTTCTTCACGTTCTCATTTTTTCCTTTCCCAAAGTAACCGAACCCATATTACAAAGCAGCCACCAGAGGGAGCTCTAGGGCAGCTTACAACTATAATATCCGATTTAAGTTATAAAAGGCAGAACACTCCCCGCCTGGTACAATATAATTGTGCCACTACAACAAACTTTTCTAATAAACATTTTGAACAGTTTAGGGCTATTTCAAACACTTATTTATCACTTGATAAAAGCAAAACCATATCAGCGATGGGTCTCAAAAACACTTTTTCATTTCCATCTTTCACAGTCTTTACTTCTGCTTTTCGAACCTTATTGTCCTTGCTCTCAAATGTTCTTACAACTTTTCCCGTGGACCAGTCATTTCTGTGTGCGAGAGCATCTTTCAATAACACAACATCACCAACTTTTATGTTTGTTTTATCATCAGTCCATTTTCTCCTTTGCTGTAGTGTTGAAAGATATTCACTTTTCCACTGTTTCCAAAAAGAGTCTGCCAAACACTGTACTTGCTTCCATTGCTTTGAGTAGAGGTCTGGCGGTCCAAAGCTTCCTGTTGGTGCAGATAATGCATTGACCTTTTGTGTAAGGAGCATTGCTGGAGTGAGAAGGTTTGGTTTGTCTGGATCTGTTGAGACTGGTACAAGTGGTCTTGCATTCATTATTGCCATTACTTCTGCCATGAATGTACTTAAAACTTCATGCGTTAGTTGGACATGTACGGCTTTCAACAGAATACCATCTAGGATGCATCTTGCTACTCCAATAAGTCTCTCCCACGATCCACCCATGTGCAATGAGTGTGGGGGATTAAACAGCCATGTGCATCCTTTCTCTTGCAGGTATGCGTTTAGTTCTGTGTCCTTGTGATCAATTTGCAACTCATTGCATGCTCCAACAAAATTTGTACCTCTATCAGATCTGAGTATTTGAGCAGGTCCACGGATGCAGAAAAATCTCCTCAGCGCATTGATGAAGCTGGATGTTGACATTGTTTCAATGAGCTCAATGTGCACAGCTCTCATGGACATGCAGGTGAAAAGCACAGCCCAGCGTTTACTGTCTGCACTCCCTCCTCTGGTGCGACGTGTGGTGACCGTCCAGGGTCCAAAGACATCCAGTCCTACACTAGTGAACGGTGGCATTGGTGTCAGCCTGTCCACGGGTAAATCTGCCATCTTTTGGGTCTGAAGTCGTCCTCGAAACTTTCGACAAAGAACACACTTGTAAATAACAGAAGAGATGAGCCGTTTACTGCCAATAATCCAAAATCCAGCACCTCTGAGCGCTCCTTCTGTTAGGTGACACCCCTGATGCGCTACCTTCTCATGATAGTATCTAATAAGAAGGATGGCTATATGATGAGCATTTGGGATAATGAGTGGATGTTTCTCATCTTTTGTTAGGTTAGCAGGTGCCAATCGACCTCCTAGTCTGAGGAGCCCATCTTCATCAATAACTGGATTTAACCTTTGAAGACAGCTTTGTTTTGGAAGTGGCAGATTTTCTTTTATGCATCTGTACTCTTCTTTGAACATTTCACTTTGTACTGTGTGAATGATGAACTTTGCTGCTTTAGACGCTTCATCTGCAGTGTTAGTTTCACTGAAACACTTCCAGCCTTTACCTTCTGTGTTTGTTTTCTTGAATGATGCTGCCACACGCTTTAGTGATGCAATAGTGCGACACAATCTCATCCAATGAGAGAATCTTTCAAAACGGCATGGCTCTAGCTGTGTTACTGAGGCTTTGGTAACAAAACTTGTTATATCAGGTCTGATCTCTGCATCTGTGTCAGGATCGATCAGTGTGAAACTATCCCAGTGAGACTTCTCTATGTCGTGTTGTGTCAAAAAGGAAGGACCACTAAACCAGTTTGTAGAAGCCAATGCAGAAGCTGCAATCGGTCTAGTGCAGGCATGGGCAAACTACGGCCCGGGGGCCACATGCGGCCCGTTAAACGTTTTGATCCGGCCCGCCAAACTTGAAAAAAATTTAATAAATTAACCTTGTTAATGTTTTATTTCCCCTGCAATTCTGATGTTTCCTCACTAGATGGCGCACTCTAGATATATTGGCTTTCTTGAGGTGAAGCGTAGGCCTATTACTCCACGTTTGCACTTTACCCTGTGACCCACCGACCCTCTATGAAGATGAGCGTACCCAAGAAAAGGAAAGTGGACAGAGAATGTCGAGTGTTCAAAAAGGAGTGGACAACTAAATATTTTTTCACTGAACACCGATCATCTGCTGTTTGCCTGATATGCCAAGAAACTGTGGCGGTTTTTAAACAGTATAATATTAGCCGTCACTTTGCCACAAAGCACGCTAATTATGCTAGCAAGCTCTCAACAAAAGAACGGGAAGCTGCTGCTGAGAAGTTGGCAGCTAATTTGAAGGCTCAGCAAAGTCAAACTGCCATTCAAGAGTCAAGTACCGAGGCCAGTTTTATGCTTTCATTCAAAATAGCAAAGGCCAGCAAACCACTGTCTGAGGGCGAGTTTTTAAAAGAATGTATGGTAGAGACAGCAGATACAGTGGGGCAAAAAAGTATTTAGTCAGCCACCGATTGTGCAAGTTCCCCCACTTAAAATGATGACAGAGGTCAGTAATTTGCACCAGAGGTACACTTCAACTGTGAGAGACAGAATGTGAAAAAAAAATCCATGAATCCACATGGTAGGATTTGTAAAGAATTTATTCGTAAATCAGGGTGGAAAATAAGTATTTGGTCACCTCAAACATGGAAAATCTCTGGCTCTCACAGACCTGTAACGTCTTCTGTAAGAAGCTTTTCTGTCCCCCACTCGTTACCTGTATGGATGGCACCTGTTTGAACTCATCATCTGTATAAAAGACACCTGTCCACAGCCTCAAACAGTCAGACTCCAAACTCCACCATGGCCAAGACCAAAGAGCTTTCGAAGGACACCAGGAAAAGTATTGTAGACCTGCACCAGACTGGGAAGAGTGAATCTACAATAGGCAAGCAGCTTGGTGTGAAAAAATCAACTGTGGGAGCAATCATCAGAAAATGGAAGACATACAAGACCACTGATAATCTCCCTCGATCTGGGGCTCCATGCAAGATCTCATCCCGTGGGGTCAAAATGATCATGAGAACGGTGAGCAAAGATCCCAGAACCACACGGGGGGACCTGGTGAATGACCTGCAGAGAGCTGGGACCAAAGTAACAAAGGTCACCATCAGTAACACACTACAACGGCAGGGAATCAAATCCCGCAGTGCCAGACGTGTTCCGCTGCTGAAGCCAGTGCATGTCCAGGCCCGTCTGAAGTTTGCCAGAGAGCACATGGATGATACAGCAGAGGATTGGGAGAATGTCATGTGGTCAGATGAAACCAAAGTAGAACTTTTTGGTATAAACTCAACTCGTCGTGTTTGGAGGAAGAAGAATACTGAGTTGCATCCCAAGAACACCATACCTACTGTGAAGCATGGGGGTGGAAACATCATGCTATGGGGCTGTTTTTCTGCCAAGGGGACAGGACGACTGATCCGTGTTAAGGACAGAATGAATGGGGCCATGTATCGTGAGATTTTGAGCCAAAACCTCCTTCCATCAGTGAGAACTTTGAAGATGAAACGAGGCTGGGTCTTCCAACATGACAATGATCCAAAACACACCGCCCGGGCAACAAAGGAGTGGCTCCGTAAGAAGCATTTGAAAGTCCTGGAGTGGCCTAGCCAGTCTCCAGACCTCAACCCCATAGAAAATCTGTGGCGGGAGTTGAAAGTCCGTGTTGCTCGGCGACAGCCCCAAAACATCACTGCTCTCGAGAAGATCTGCATGGAGGAATGGGCCAAAATACCAGCTACTGTGTGTGCAAACCTGGTAAAGACCTATAGTAAACGTTTGACCTCTGTTATTGCCAACAAAGGTTATGTTACAAAGTATTGAGTTGTATTTTTGTTATTGACCAAATACTTATTTTCCACCCTGATTTACGAATAAATTCTTTACAAATCCTACCATGTGGATTCATGGATTTTTTTTTCACATTCTGTCTCTCACAGTTGAAGTGTACCTCTGGTGCAAATTACTGACCTCTGTCATCATTTTAGGTGGGGGAACTTGCACAATCGGTGGCTGACTAAATACTTTTTTGCCCCACTGTGTGTATATATATACACACACACACACACACACACACACACACACACACACACACACACACACACACACACACTTCTATATACATATGCAGGACACCTTAAACTACTTTTTTAATTAAGCAGCAAGGCAGAA